AATAATCTGACTTTGTATAAAAAATATACAAAAGTATGAAGGCTATTGCTTAAGTAAGCTGCCCTGAGTCTCCGGAGAAGGGCGGTATATAAATCAAATTTAAAAAAAAAAAAACTTTTGACAGTTAAATATATCAATAATACAAATAATTGATTTTAAGTCATCTCTCCTTTTGCAGTTTGTTTCCACTGATGCTGGTTTTAAGAGCCTTGAAAACTGTTGGTTTTAAGAGTCTGTTTGAGATGAAAGGCTCCTATTATGTTGAATTTTTTTATTCTTGTCCAGTTTGCCATTTTTTAATTCCTTTATTCTTGTTTATTCTTGTTTTTAATGGAATTATTTGTCTGAAATGTTATACGGTTTCCTTCCTGAGTGGGGGTGGTGGGGGTGGGGGATGGGGGGTGGATTAGAAAATCTCCAAGATCCCTTCCAACTCTATATTCTTTTTTTAAAATAATTTTATTATTACATTTCATTTAAAAAGAAAAAACAAACAACATAAAATGACAAACATAACAATACAACAATAAATATACGTACTTCCATATCATACCATAGTACACAAATATTCAGTACTATGACTCTGAATTATATTCCGGAGAAGACAGAACATCTTATATCTCTTAATGCATCACTTAGGTCTGTCCGACCACACTTATCTTATATAGTATAAATATCTCCAACTCTATTATTCTGTTGAATATTCTGTTATTCCTTTTCAGGTTCTCATTTGTGAACTGTCCAGAGGCATTGGGAAGTGAAAGTATATATGGTAGATGTAATTCTTCCTCTACCTCCACATTTCAGGAATAATTTATGGCCTGATTTTTATGTCTTTTCACTTTTGCCTATTATTCATCCCTTTTTTTCCAAACTTTTTATCTTTTCTGATCATTAACAAATAAACTTCCAGCTAATTTTTTTAAGTAGCTGAACTGAGATGTGTGTGTGGGGGGGGGGCATATGGGCTCATTGTAATATGGATCTAGAGAGATTAACTGGAAGAGTGCTGGCAGTAAACAGAAACAGGAAGGAACTACAATATTTATTGATAACGTAAAACTCAGTTTTCTCAGAGATTCACAATGAAAGAATAGATAATAGAATAGAATAGAATAGAATAGAATAGAATAGAATAGAATAGAATAGAATAGAATAGAAATAGAATAGAATAACAGATTTGGAAGGGAACTTGGAGGTCTTCTAGTCCAACCGCCTGCTTAGGCAGGAAATCCTACACCACTTCAGACAAATGGTTATCCAACACCTTCTTAAAAACTTCCAGTGTTGGAACATTCACAACTTCTGGAGGCAAGTTGTTCCACTGGTTAATTGTTCTTTTGCTTTTTATACATATACATATATATATATATATTATAATATACATATATATATATATATATTATATATATATATATATATATATAATATATATATATATATATATATGTAGGTCTTTGGTATTCGGGTCTTCTCCCACGTAAAATTGGAAGTGTCTTGGACGTTTCGACGAAGTTCTCATTCGTCATTTCAGGCTGGTATTCTCGGCTTCGTGCTCCTGGAAGCACGAAGAGAACATGCCTGAAGATGATAAATATAAGACTTCGTCGAAATATCAATATATTCCATTTTTATATATAATATATAATATAAAACCTATATATAAATATGAATATATATATACATATATATATATATATATATAATATATATATATATATATTATATAATATATATATATATATATATATATATTATATATATGTTTTTCTTCTAGCCATATATATATGTGTGTGTGTGTGTGTGTATACACACACACACAGTATGTCACCCATTTCACTGTTGAAACCACTCTAAGCAGCTTACAAAATGATAGTTTTAGTTCTAGTACCTCTAGAACTAATAGTACATAATAACTAATAGTAGTAATAGTAGTAATAGTACTTGTAGTTCTAGTACCATTTTACAAAGCATTAGTAACACCACACTTGGAATACTGCATCGAGTTGTGATCACCATCTTATTAAAAAAGATGTGGAGACTCTGGAAAGAGTGCAGAGAAGAGCAACAAGGATGATTAGGGGACTGGAAGATAAAACACATGAAGAACGGTTGCAGGAATTGGGTTTGAAAGGAAGGACTAGCGGAGATATGATAACCGTCTTCCAGAATTTGAGGGGCTACCACAAAGAAGAGGGGGTCAACCTGTTCTCCAAAGCACCGGAAAGCAGAATAAGAAGCAATGGATGGAAACTAATCAACGAGAAAATAAATCTAGAACTAAGGAGAAATTTCTAATGGTGAGAACAATTGAGTGGAGCAGTTTGCCTTCAGAGGTCGTGAGTGCTTCATCACCAAAGACTTTTAAGAAGAGATTGGCCAGCCACTTGTCTGAAATGGTTTAGGGTCTCCTGCTTGAGCAGGAGGGTGGACTGTTCTCAGAACTCTTCTCTTCCTCTCTCTTCTTCTCTCTTCTCTCTTCTCTTCTCTTCTCTTCTCTTCTCTTCTCTTCTCTTCTCTTCTCCTCTCCTCTCCTCTCCTCTCCTCTCCTCTCCTCTCCCCTCCCCTCCTCTCCTCTCCTCTCTTCTCCTCCCCTCCTCTCCCCCCTCCCCTCCCCTCCCCTCCCCTCCCATTCCATTCCATTCCATTCCATTCTGAATTTTTGATCAATGAAAGGTCACAACTTAGATTCAGGTGACATGCATTGTTGTACGCTGTCCAGCAGATGGCACTATAGACTTATTGAAATGGCCCTTGACCCACCAATCATGGTCATTTAGACATTGCCTGGGAAATTCTATTTTTGCAAATTCTTGCTGATACAACCTGTCAGCTTTGGAAGCCATATTAGGCCAGAAGCTTCCATGGTGCCACCTTCTCATGTTGCAGTGTTGTTTTTAAAAACACTGATTAGTACTTTAAATTGGACCCAGAAGCCAAGTGGCAGCCAATGTGGAAATGTCAACATAAACAGGTTTCTGTCCTATTGGGGTTGTCCCATTAGAAACCATGCTCCTTCCTTCCTTCCTTCCTTCCTTCCTTCCTTCCTTCCTTCCTTCCTTCCTTCCTTCCTTCCTTCCTCCTTTCTATCTTCCTTCCTTCCTTCCTTCCTTCCTTCCTTCCTTCCTTCCTTCCTTCCTTCCTTCCTTCCTTCTTGTTACCCTTTTTAAAACTCTCCACTTTTACCAGTTTTTTAAAAGCTCAACAGAATCAGATGTGGTCAGTATCTGGACAGGAGACCTCTAGACAATTCCCCAACCAGAGGCTAAAATAGGCAGCTCAAGATACATCCAAAAGATTCAAAGACATTTTGAATGAAAAGGGGGAATTCAAAACTAAACAAGAATTGAGTAGTCAAGGGATTGGCATAGCATGGTGGTCACAAGTGCAGATACAATCTCAATATGAAAAAGACACTAAAATGTATGTGTGTTTTTTTTACACGAAGAATTAACAGAATTAGGGCAGATATTAACAGGGACAGATGAAAAATTAATAAAGAAAATATATAGCTATCTACTAAGTATCAGAATGGAAGGTGAGCAAGTAAAGGAGAAAATAATAGTATGGGCTAAAAATGTTGGTTACACAATAGAGTTAGATAAATGGCAGAAATTGTGGGATAGGAATTATAAATTAACGATGTCAACTGCATATAAAGAAAATCTTTATAAAATGTTTTGTAGATGCCATTTTCCCCCCATAAGGTTGGCAAAAATGTTTAAGGACATGTCCGCTAAATGTTGGAAATGTCATCAGATACCTGGTTCGTATTATCATATATGGTGGACATGCCCAAAAGCAAAAAAATATTGCATAAAAATACACACATGGTTGGAAAAAATGATAAAACAACATACAGATTTAAAACCAGAAATATTTTTGTTGGGCATTTTACCGGATAAGTATGATAAAGGGAATGTATATCTGATTCTACATGTATTAATTGCAGCTAGAATTGTATTTGCACAACAATGGAGAAGTGAAGAAATCCCTACAGATGAAAATGTGATTTAAAAAATATTAGAATGTGCAGAAATGGATAGATTAACACTTACAATTAAGGAAAAGGAAGAAACTGAATACTCTTTGACATGGGACTTATTTTATCAATGGCTGGCTAATAAAAACAGAAGTTAGAAACATGTAGATGAAAGAAAAGAAAAAAAAATCATATAAGGGAGGTTTTTTTTTAATGGATAAGCAAATATTATTATTATTGTTATTACCCTGTTTCCCCCAAAATAAGACCTCCCCTGATAATAAGCCCAATCGGGCTTTTGAGCGCATGGCAATAAGGCCAAGCGCTTATTTCAGGGTTCAAAAAAATATAAGACAGGGTCTTATTTTCGGGGAAACACAGTATTGTTATTATAGAACTAAAACCAATGTCCTGAATATTGTTATAAACATTTTGATTATTATTTCCTAAAAATATTTGTACCCAGACAATACACTGTTTAACTAAAAATGGAATCTTTATAAGTTATAAATAAATAAAAACAGATAGAGAGATAGATAGATAGAGAGAGAGAGACAGACAGACAGACAGACAGACAGACAGACAGACAAATGACAATGGCAAAGAACATCCAAAATGTGGTCAAACTTGGACTTCATGTCTACATATGAGAGCATCTATGTGCTCAATATCTTAACAGGACAATTTTTTACAGGAATGCTCAAAAAATAATCCCCGCTGCACGAAACTGGATTTTCCTGGAAAAAGAAAGAAAGACAGAAAGAAAGAAAGAAAGAAAGAAAGAAAGAAAGAAAGAAAGAAAGAAAAAGAAATATATTCAAGGTTGCAAGTTGAAACATTTACCTATATTCTCCCCCCCCACTTTCCCCTTAAATTCTACTCCAGCCTCCAGCCTCCACCCCACCTCCGTTTACACACCCTCATTCCTCCCACTGACCCCTCCCAAAATCTCCTGCTTGACTCTCTGCTCTTTTTTTTTTGGCTTTGCATCTTTCCAAAGTTAGCTTCACTCTGAGCAAGAGAGATATTGAGATAGGGTGCTAAACCTTTCTGAGCTGAGAGGCTGCCTCCTCCCTCTCTTGCCATTTCTCTTTGAATCTGGTTTTTGTTTTTTAAAAAAGAAGAACTTGTAAGGAGTGCCTTCGACTCTTATGGATAGAGGAGAACATTTTTTTTCCAGCTATCTTTTTCATTTGAAAATTGTCCCGTGCTCTGATTGGATTTGGTTTTGCATTACATGCTGGCTGTAAATCTAATCTGAAGGGTTGGATTTAATCTGATTCTCCAAGAACTGCTGGAAGATTTCACCCATGTTAACAGGTAAGAGGCATCATGCAGAAGAACAGAAGGTGTTTGACAAACCTTGAGGGTGATTGTCGCTTGCTTTTTAATAACAGCTTTGGTGGGAAACACACAAGATTTTCTTTCCAGCATGGATGCGATTTATTTGTGTATGCATCGAATAGAGTATAAGAGAGTTGGAAGAGACTTTGGAAATCTTCTTCTATACCATTCCAGACAAATAGTTATACAATCTCTTCTAAAAAATTACTATAATAACTTCCAGTGATGGAGCACCCACAACTTCTGGAGAAAAGTTAGTGGAATTAGAATAGAATAGAATAACAGAGTTGGAAGGGACCTTGGAGGTCTTCTAGTCCAACCCCCTGCTTAGGCAGGATACCCCACACCACTTCAGACAAATGGTTATCCAACATCTTCTTAAAAACTTCCAGTGTTGGAGCATTCACGACTTCTGGAGGCAAGTTCTTCCACTGATTAATTGTTCTATCAGGAATTTCTTCTTAGTTCTAGGTTGCTTCTCTCCTCGATTAGTTTCCAGCTTCTTGTCCTACCCTCAGATGCTTTGGGGAATAGCTTGATTCCCTCTTCTTGGTGGCAACTGCTGAATTGAATGTGGAGGGATCTGCTGCTTCAGTCTGATCATCTAAGTGACTCAGTTCTAGGTGTCCCTTCAGTTTGTAGAATCAGGTTGGTCTTCTTCTGTGCTTTTAATGCAACTGGGCCAATTCAAATTGGGTTGTCTACTCTGCCTGGAGGAAAGAGAATTCGGAGCAGGTGAATGCAGGCATCGAAAAAGCTCATTTTATTAGGTCAATTGAAGTAAGATAGCTACGTAGCTGCTCTGAGGTCTTGACCCAGGGCACGTTTTCAATTTGTTTCAGGAGCTGCTGTGATTTATTTATTTTTTTAATTTGATTTATTTGCCGCCCTTCTCCGGAGACTCAGGGCGGCTTACAATGCATTAAGCAATAGCCTTCATACTTTTGTATATTTATACAAAGTCAGCTTATTGCCCCCACAAACTGGGTCCTCAATTTACCTACCTTAGAAAGGATTCGAACCTGCAGTAATTGCAGGCAGCTGGTCTTAATAACCAGCTTAATAACAGGGTGCCTTAGACCACTGTACTACCAAGGCTCTTAATTGAGGTTTCAGTAACCAGAAGCACTTTTTCGATTAGATTTTCAGGCTACCTTCCTGTTCAAAAAGAAGATACTGAGTGTCCGGAGAGATTCTCAGTCATCCAGCTCAGGGTTATCCCAAAGGAGTTTTTTTCAGGAGGCAAACTGGACTTTCTGGTTTTTCTTTGAAGACGTTTCGCTTCTCATCCAAGAAGCTTCTTCCGTTCTGACCAGTCAGAGCTGAAGAAGCTTCTTGGATGAGAAGCGAAACGTCTTCGAAGAAAAACAAGAAAGTCCAGTTTGCCTCCTGAAAAAACTCCTTTGGAGCATACTGAGTGACTTACAGTTAAATTAAATTCAGCTCAGAAGGAGCGATTTTGTGATTCCTTCTACTAAATCTAGAAATATCTGACGTGCTGCATGCAACTCTTCCGGATGAGGAAACATTCTTTGAGTGCATTCCGCTGATAAATTTGGATGACTTTCTTAGAAGGAATAAAGAAAAAAAAAAAGCACTTTTCCAACTATCCCTATTTGCCCGCAGATTCACGTCTGGTTTAAAATGCAGAAGGGCTTTTTTTTTTTTTTCCCTAACCTGCTTGTTTTCAGTATTTTGGTCATGTTTATTTTCCTTTGTTGCTAACCGATACATGATCTACTTTGCTGTAAATAGCTGGTAGAATAAAAATACAACTCTGTAGTAAATTATAGTTGGATTCCGGCTTTGGCCAATGTCACGTTGCAAACCGAATTTCACTGATTTTCTTTGCTCTGTAACTTCATAAAGTAGGGTCCATATTCCCAATTTAAAAAAAAAAAAACACCAAATACTGCTTTGTGTGATATTTAATACATGGTCCTGCTTGCTATACTCAGCTGCTCTCTAATTATAAGCTACATTCTTGGGTTTCAGCATTTAAGAATAGTATGCTGCAGTGGGAAAACCCAGCCCATGGCGAGAAGCTAAGAGTGATACCACCATGGTCACTAGGAGAAATAGCTTCTACCAAATATTTTCTAGAGGTACAGATTAGATACAGATTAACAGAGTTGGAAGGTACCTTGGGTGGACCCCCCACCCAAGCAGGAGACCCTACACCATTTCTGACAAATGGCAGTCCAATCTCTTCTTGAAAGTTTCAAGTGATGAAGCTCCCACAACTTCCAAAGGCAACTTCTGTTCCATGGGTTGATTGTTCTCACTGTCAGGAAATTCCTCCTTATTTCTAAGTTGAATCTCTCCTTGGTCAGTTTCCATCCATTATTCCTTGTCTGGCCTTCGGGTGCTTTGGAAAATAGCTTGACCCCCTCCTCTCTTTGGCAGCCCCTCAAATATTGGAAGAGGGCTATCCTGTCTCCCCTGGTCCTTCTCTTCACTGGACTAGCCATGCATACTTCCTGCAATCATTTGTAAAGATGGTACCAACATTGTGGACCTCACCTGGTGTTCTGTCAGGTTATCAACACAAAACATGAGTGGAAGCTGCAACCATTCATGTGGGATACTGATGGTGAAGAAAATGACATCCATTCAAGATGGATAACATCCATCCTCATCCCTTTCTTTCTTTCTTTCTTTCTTTCTTTCTTTCTTTCTTTCTTTCTTTCTTTCTTTCTTTCTTTCCTTCCTTCCTTCCTTCCTTCCTTCCTTCCTTTCCTTTCCTTTCCTTTCTTTTCTTTCCTTCCTTCCTTCCTTCTTTCCTTCCTTCGTTCCCTCCTTCCTTCCTCCCTCCCTCCCTCCCTCCCTCCTTCCTTCCTTCCTTTCTTTCTCCTTCTTTCCACTAACTGTGACTTCCTCAATCCTGGGTCCAGTTTCTCCAGCCAGAGGGCATGCTTGGGTTCCATTGTGGTGGCTTTTCTGAATCATTTAGACATTTGCATAAATTTGGAGGAGATGTTCTTGCAAGAAAATGTGGTCCTGGCCAACAGCGCAACAGTGCTTCACGTTACAACTCATTCTCACTCCTTCTGAAAAAAGTTTCTCAGTTGGGGTTCATGTGAATGGCTTATCATTTTGCTTGACAAGAATCATACACAACTGAAAGCAGAGTCGATGAGGAGAAAACTATAATTCTGAATATGATGTTTCTCAGATAGCTTTGTTGCTTTCTATTTATTGTGGAGAGCCAGTTTAATGTAGTGGTTAAGGTACCAGAAGATTGTGAGATCTTAGATGCAGATGTAGTCCAGTCTTGGGTATGAAGCCAGTGGTGTCACCTTGAGCCAGTCACTCTCCCTCAGCTCCAGGAAAGAGGCAATGGCAAATAACTTCTGAAAAACCATGCCAAGAAAACTTCAGGGACTTGTTTGTGCAGTTTCCAGGAATCGAAAACTGATTCAACAGAGCCCAAACAAACAAATAAACAAAAATCCTTCCATAAACCATAAACCTTCTCGCCTTGGTTAGTTTCCATCCATTGTCTTGCCTTTTGGTGCTTTGGAAAATAATTTGACCCTTCATCTTTGTAAGAGCCCTTGAAATATTGGAACACTGCTATCAATGGCTAAATACTCAGAAGCATCTGGGATGGATGGATGGATCAGTGGTGGGTTCCTCCCGGTTCGGTCCGGTTCGGCCGAGCCAGTAGCGCTGACGATATGACATCACCGAACCGGTTCTCCCCCCTGCCCCCCCACCCCCCCACCCCCACGTTATTCTTACCTTTTATTTGGTCCACCCCCAATCTATTGATGCCTCCTGAGTCCCAGCTGATGACTAGAGGGAAAAAAACCTGTTCAAACTCTTGCCACGGGGCTTCAAAGGGCTGTCCTACAGCTGATCAGTGTTAAAAGCAAACAAATGAGTCGGGTCGTAAGTGCAGGGACTGGTCGTAAGTGCGAGGATCTTCCAGAAATGACCCTGACCAATTAGCCACGCCCACCTAGTCACATGACCTCCAAGCCACACCCATAAAATAAGCCACGCCCTCAGAACTGGTAGTAAAATAATTTAGAGCCCACCCCTGGTATGGATGAATGGATGAATGGATGAGAAGTTCTTGAAATTTATTTATTTATTTTATTTTATTTATTTATTTTGTCAAGCATATATAAGATAACAGGTAAAAGTATAAACATAATTTGAATACATGAAAAGAGTAAGAGTAAAAAGGAATATTAGGACAGAGACGGTAGGCACATTGGTGTACTTATGCATGCCCCTTACAGACCTCTTAGGAATGGGGTGAGGTCAACTGTAGACAGTTTAAGGTTAAAATTTGGGGGGTTTGGGGAAGAAACTACAGAGTCAGGTAGTGCATTCCAGGCATTGACCACTCTGTTACTGAAGTCATATTTTCTGCAATCGAGTCTGGAGCAGTTTACCTATTATTTGCTCGTGTATTGTTGTGGTTGAAGCTGAAGTAGTCATTGACAGGTAGGACATTATGGCAGATAATTTTATGTACTATGCTTAGGTCAGACTGAAATCGGCCTAGTTCTAAGTTGTCTAAGCCCAAAATTTGGAGTCTGGTGGCTCCCCCCGGAGATACGGAGGATCCCGGATCTGCGCACCTTCCGCCGCGCCTTAAAGACCTTTTTATTTCACCAGGTGGGCCTGGCCTAATTTTCTCCCTCTTTTATAAAAGATTTTTAATCTTTAAATATTTTTTAGTATTTTATATATTCAAATTTTAAAATAGGTTTTAAACTGATTGGGGTTTTAATTTGTCTGGGCCAAAACTATTTAATTTGATTTTAATTCCACTTTTAAATTTTGTATGTATGTATTTTATTGTTTGGCTGTGCACCGCCCTGAGTCCTTCGGGAGTAGGGCGGTATAGAAATCAAATCAAATCAATCAATAAATAAATAAAGGTATTTTATTGCGGTTAGAGGAATGAAGGACTCTTCTTGTAAAATATCTCTGGACTCTCTCGATTGTATTTATGTCCG